TCAAGGGACTATAGGTGCGCTACTAGGTCTGCTACAGTGGAGAAGGAGGGTAGGTCAGGGAAAAGAAACAGCAGGACCAGACAACCTAGGATGGCTAAGGATTGGGTAGAGTAGTGAGCAAAAACGGCGTCCCAAATACCCTTAGCAGTCTCGAGCGTCTCAAGCTGAGTCTGTTTGTCAGGATGGAGGGCCCTAGTGACTACCAGCTACGCAGCTGCATCGCGAGACTGCCAGACAGAGAAGGCGGCTAGGGCAGTCTCGAACTCAGACCGATGCGCGGACGTCGCATCAGCAGCAGGAGCAGCAGGCTTTGGGGGGCAGCTAACGTACGAAGTGTGGGCCACAAGGGCCTTGCCGTCCTAGCAGATGGATGTGAGCTGGCAACGGAGAGCGACGAGCCAGGCCGAGAAGCCAATCGCGCGACCCTCAGCGTCGAGGCGGGGGACAGCGGCAGGCTGGTACGCCATAGCGGAATGTGGCGGTGACGACGTCTGCAACAGGGACGGCAATAGCTACTGCAGTGGCGAGCTGCTGGAGACAGGAGGAGTAGGCTGCAGACGGCGGCAGCTAAAGGCAGCAGCGAGCAACAGTGGCGGTGGCAGTGGCTGCGGCAGGAGGAGCTGCAGCGGCAGTGAGCGGCAGCGATCGGCAGTAGGCAGTAGGCGGTAGCAACGGGAGGTGACGGCAGCAGCTACTGGCTGGCGGCTGCCGCCTGCGGCTGCTGGCGGCCGCTGGCTAGCAAGCCAGCGGCGTGCTGGCTGGTGGCAGCGGCCAGCAGCTGGCTGGCGGCTGCTGGCTGGCTGCTGATGGCAGCTAGCGGCGGCTGCTGGCGGCTGCTGGCAGCGAGCTGGCGACATGCTGGCAGCTAGCGACGAGCTGGCGGCTGCTCACGGCAAGCTGGCGGCGTGCTGGCGGCTATTAGCAAGCTGGTGGCTGCTGGCGGCTGGCTAGTGGCTGCTGGCTGGCGGCTGGCCAGTGGCTGCTGGCTGGCGGCAGTGGCCAGCAGCATGCTAGCGGCTGCTGGCTGGCGAGCCAGCGGCGCGCTTGCTGGCGGCTGCTGGCAGCTGGTGAGTGGGCTGGCGGCTTGCTGGCGGCTGCTGGCTGGCGAGCCAGCAACGCACTTGCTGCTGGCAGCTGGTAGGGCGGCGGCGGGCTGGCAAGCTTGCGACGAGCGAGCTGCTGCTGGACGGCAGCGGCGAGCCAGCGGCGATTGGCTGGCGACAGCTGTGGCGAGCTGGCGACTAGGTGGCTGGCGACTGCGGGCGGGCAGGCGCTGGCGAGGTACACGAGAGGCGAGCAGGGGCTGGTGAGCGGTTAGCAGGCATGAAACGGCGATCTAAGGGTGGGCGTGCTGGCTGGCGGGTTGGCATGCGAGCTTGCTAGCTGGCTGGCTGCGTACAAAACGGAAGGAACACTTGGAGGGGGGGGGGGGGTCCTACGGAGCGAGAAACACGCAAAAACAACACTTCCTCAACAGTGAGCTCACTCCCCAATGGGTTGTATGGCCTATGAGGGATGACCTCGTTGAAATGGAGAGGGGAATAAGACACGTTGGTGGAATCCCTGGAGTAGTGGGTGCGTTGGATGCTACCTATATTCGAGTAAAATGTGAAGGTGTTCATAAATCCGATTGCGTGTAAAGGAAAGGGCACTTCTCCATCATCCTCCAATTGATCGTCAGTGCCATGTGCATGTTTGGGACTTTTACGCCGGTTGGCCCGGCTTAGTAATTGTTGCGACGGTATAGGAGAACATCCCTACACGAGCTAGGGTGGAAGGAGGAGACCTATATGGGTATGTTCTAGTGGTAGATGCTGTATTTGGACTGAGAGAGTACACATTTGTGCCATAAATAGCATTGGGCAGTACAGTGGGTGTTGAACAAACAAATTTTGTGTACTAGAATGGTGGCAGAAAGGGTCAATGGTAGGCTGAAGACAAGGTGGCGGATACTTGACTGCCGCTTGGAGAGCAACAACCCCAAAGAAGTAGACATCATACTGTAGCTGCATGTGTTACCCTTCATAATGTGGAGTTGGAGCTATGCTTCTTTCCAAGCCGCAAGCCTTCGATGCCTTGTTATAGGTGGTGGCTGAGAGGTCCAGCCGCACTAGCTCGTCACGTCCCGAGCTTGGCACCCGATTTTAATGCTACTCAGTGTCAGACATGTCTTGTGGGGTATCACAATTCCTCATGGAGGCAGGCTCATCCTTTAGCTCTCCTACCGTACGGCGGGTAAGTGCATCAAATTTGGCCTTATTTTCAGCCATGGCTTCACGCATGGTTGAGCTCAACATTGCTGCCATTCCCACCGCAAATTTTGCTCCACCTGATTGAGTCCCTCGTCAACTTCATTTCCATATGGACCATCTGCTAAGCCCCCCATCTCTCAAGCTTGGCGTGCGACCCTCGGGCAGTGGCATGGTGAGTCTGGAGGACCACGACGAGTTGGAACGTGATGGCACCTTGAAAGAGACAGCCACATTCTGGAGAGAAGTGCATCCACCGAGGGACGGTTGTGGCACAGTGGAGTGGGGGAATGTCGCTGGCATGGACCCAAAGGAGCTACCACCAACCGTACTTGTTGGAGGTGGCAGCCCGCTTGTGGGGACACCTGTAGGGTGTCAGGGTGGGGTGGGGGGCAGCCACGGGAGGGTAGGGGGGGTGGGGTAGCAGCATTCGCAGAGGCAGTGGCATTCACTTTTATTTCGGTGGTGTGGTTGTTATTTTAGTGACCGTTGACGATGCAAGAAATTTGTAGAGCTTAAGTACTTACGGAGCAAAGTAGCCTGATTCATAGACAGTGTTGTCATTGTAATCGTTCCAGGGTGGGCTGGGGTGTTGTTGGGGGTGCGATGCTGAGTGCTTGCCGGGGTGCTGGGTGTGACACAGATTGGTATTGTAGAGGGTTATGCGGCCAATACTGTGTCTAGCACCTCGTACCACGGTGGCAAGGGAACACAGGCAGCCCCTGAGTAGTTGAGGCGGTCATGAAACTGCCTCTAATCCCGCTCCATTCTCTACATTCGTGTGCAGGGGCGAAGGTGGTCGTAGATGATCACGCAGATGTTGGTGCCTCGAATGCCACATACCCGCATGTCCAACTCAACACGTGCTTGTGCTAGCTCCATAGTATCAGCAAGGAGCGAGTGAGTGTTATTACTGCTTGGGGTGGTGCTCGAGGGGCCAGATGTTTCAGCCTCTGCTTGGTCTTCAAGGGTGAGCCCCACATTGTCGTTGGTCGTCAATGGGATAGGGGCTCCTGCCTGAGTAAAATCAGGCAGTATGCCATGATCACCCTGCGGTGTTTCGGGACTGGGGAGATGACGCACAGACTTTTCCATGCAGGCAGGGAGTGACGGATTCATGGTAGGCATGGCATCACCAGTTGAGGGATGGGGGGCAGTTTGGGACTCCTAAGCCTCTAGAGGGGGAGCTCATGGGAATGTGGCTGCCGTGTTGTCACTACCTGGCGATGCCATGGTGTAAGACCCTAGATATCAATGATGGGCCTATGTAATCACATATTTACGTGTTTTTTCCAGAAGAAGCACTAGTATGATCAACTCCTCTGAGTGTGCTTTAAGAATCCCCCAAACCTTTCCTTGCTTACCTGATACTGGCGTCATAGGATCTCTGGTTTTGTGTTGGTGCACTACTTATTTCGCATCATGCCTTCACAAATTGCGCATTTATGATGCGCGCAACTTTCGTGCGTATAATTTTTGCATTCTGCAGTTTCGTCGGCCCATGTGCGCAAAAAATCCAGTGTCACGGTCTATTGGTTTGGCACGAGTTTGGCCCATTTGCAAACGTTCCACGATATGGTAGGTGATCATTTTATAGTGCCCAAGTATTATATGTACAATTTTGGTGTGCGCGTTTGGACTAATTGATTGGACGACGAGCGTGACAAGCTTAATGAACAGACAAATGGAGCGGAATGGAGTAGCAGCTCAAACTTAATTCACCCCCTAAGCGAGTCCTAGATACAGCAAAGAGCTGCTTCCTAAACTTAGAAATGAAACAAGGATTGTGGTCTAAGATGATGAAATCGGAACCCTGTGTAGTCGGACTACGTTATCTACGAACAACGTTGTTGCATCATTTGCTGTGACCTTGTCGTGTGTGAGGATGAAGTGTGCTGCCGGAGAAAACTTATCCACTATTAACGAATATGGCGTCGTGACCCCTAACTGTCCATGGTAGATCCATGATTGAGAAGACTGGCTTTGCGCTAGCGAGACGATTTGGTGCGCTGATACATGTCACATAAACCAATGTAATCCTCTACATTGCCTGTGAGCCCTGGCAAGAAGTACGTGTGACTAAGCATCTTAACTGTCTGATTTGCCACGAAATGGCCCGCGCTAACTATTGTACGTCGTGCGCCCTTGAGAGTAGGATTTGGCGAAGAGGGCGGTAGGCAGGAACCCAAATCCGTAAGGTACCCCTCGGAATGTAGTCACTACCCTGCACCTCTACTCCTGCGGGTGGCTGTAGCATTGAATCTAGATCTACTATGTATCTGTGCTCGAAGGGTGTCGTGACAAGTGGATCACGAGCAATGACTGTAAGACTACCCACCTGACAACTAGGGCGAGTAAGCGAATCTGCTCGGTTGTGCACGCCTGGCTTGTACTCCATCGTGTGGTGGAAAGTCCCCTCCATGAACTCCTCCACTTGACCTAGCAGCAACTCAGCTGGTGCTGGGACTTAAGGAATCTTAATGAGCAATGCCACCTCTTGGTAGCACCTCCATGCCTTGTACGAGTGGATGATTGCTATTGCCTCCTTGTCATGGATTGGATAATTCAGCTCCACTCCCCTCATCTTACGTGACTCGTATGTGATCGGCTGCAAACCCCAGCCCTTGTCCTGAAGATGGATTGCTCTAATGGCCACATCTGATTTGTCGATCACTACGAGGTACGGTCAAGTTGGATCGAGGTATGATAGAGTCGGTAAGGATGTGAGCGATTGCTTCATCTTCTCGGAAGCCTTTTGCTGTGCTGGACCCCAAAAGAATTATGTGCCCTTATGAAGTAGGTCGTAACCCTGAACGAATTGGTGGTAGTAGTTTGTGAACCCAAGGAAGCTCTGCAGTTCCTTATCCGAGGTAGGAGCTGTCCACTGCTGCACTGAAGCGATCTTTTTCTGATCTGTTCTAACACCACAAGCAGATAAAATATGGCCAAGAAAATCTACCTTTGGATGGAAGAATCCGCACATCAACTGCTTAGCATGCAACTGTTCCTTTCAAAAGACCTAGAAGATATTTTGCAAGTGCTGTACATGCTCCTTTGGTGTCTTGGACTAAACCAGGATATGTTAAGAAGACTATATTGAAGGACCCGATGAAATCTGCTAGCATGCTATTCATCAGCATCTAGAATATTGCTGGGGCATTGGTCAGTCCAAATGGTGAAACCCTGAACTCGTACAACCCTTGCTTCTTACGAAATGCAGTCTTACCCTGATCCTTTGGAACTACTCGAATATCATAATATCCTAAGCAAAGATTAATCCTGGAAAAAATATTCTAGTGCCCTGGACAGCATCTAAAAGATCCTCTACCCATGGCACTGGAAACATATTCTTGAGAATGACATCGTCAACCCCCAATTCTTATTTGGTGCGAATAGGATCGATGCTTTCCAATGAGATTTAGACGGCTGGATAAAACCCTACGCTAGGAAGTGCTTGACGTGCTTAATGATCTCCTCTATTTCTGCTAGAATTAACCTCCACCATGGCTCCGCTACTGGCCTGCTTCCCATGTCCAACTCTATCCGACGATGTACTGATCGGCTAGGAGGAAACCCTGGAGGCAAATTGCGGGGAAACGTCCACAACTGCACTCACTCCAGCTGGAAGGTCCTTCTTCTCTCCAATTCTTGCACTCCCTCCTTTCTCTTCCTTAGCTTCAACCCTCTCAAGGAAGACCGCGAAGACCAGTGCTGCTCGCTTCACCAACTACCGCACACAAACAACATCGATGACAGCTGCAGAGGATGTGGTACCATCACTCCATTTAGGAAGCTCTCATAACTCCCCACCTACCTTGATACGGCAGATGCCCTGTGCATAATCAAACTGAGTCGTTACCATCCAGAGCCAAACCAAAGATGAAGTTGTAGCCGTCCAAAGTTTCAGAATCGAAATCCCTAGTAAGTGTGATCGGTCCTGACACAATGAGCAACTTGAGGATGACTGGGCCTATACTGTATGAAGAGGCGTCCCGTCTAACATGCAAGCATCTTCGAAGTTGGAAGACGAATCTGCTTCAAAGTTGAAACAACAAACTAGCAACGAAGAAACAAACTAGAGATCCACTCTCTACTAGAATCTTAACAGCAACTCCACGAAGCTTCCATAGAATCACGACCAGGTTATCAATAATGTCTCTCTCATTTGGCATAGATGACAGCTCGATGGCTGTCTCCTCTACATGGGTAGACTTTGCGGGTATGGAAGCCTGCACACCAGCTAGCGACCCGCTACCTACTAGCGGTTTCTGTTTCCCTGCTCTTGCTCCTTAAGCTGAGGACATTTTTGCTTCATGTGCCCTGGCTTTTTGCTGTAGTGATAGTTCCCTCTAAATCACGATCTCTTTGAGCTGTCACTGTCAATTGCATCAATCTTCATGGGCAATGGATGGTCCATCCCTAGAGCCAGTATCATTGACAGGATTTTTATAACTCCTATCGCGATCGTCCCGACCCTGTCGACTTCATACTACGTTGACCCATTATGCTATTGCAACTACTGTCTTGAATGTGGACAATCCGATAATAGCTACTGTACATTATAACTTCCCTTATATACAACCTTGGCTTGTCGAGATAGTGGTAGAGGCTCAAGAACCGTCGTGTGTACTCCTAGACGTTTTGTATCTGACGCAAATGATGCAGACACTTCCTAGCGGCTGGCCGGCTACACCAAGTCGAATCTAGCTTTCAGCACGGCTTAAAAACCTTCCCATGTCGTTGAAACTATGGTAACAACCAAAGCTACACTACCTAAGCTCGTCATTGTAGTTGCATACCCGTCGCCCTGCTGATGCCTCTCTACGTAAGCCCTTCATACAACAATTTGCGTTTGTTGGCGCCACCATTCTAAGGCTGGGTCCCTCAGCAGCATTATGGTGTACTTTATCCATTGTTGCATGCTTGCATCTTGAACGCCGCGCGAGTTGAAGTAGTTGTTGGGCATGAAGATCCACGTCTGTATTTTCACGCCGCGATAACTTGGGTCGAACGTCTCAGGATTCAGTGGCTTGAGCAACGTTTGGTGGCAGCATTTCCGCGGCATTTGTCATGTTCCAGTAAGTGCAGGAATTGGTGCGGCATGACCATGAGGGTTAGAAGAAGCCAATTCACAAAGCTGTTGCATTTCAGCCCGTACCTGATGATTATCAAGTAGTGAGGTTGACTCAACCGAGGATAATACATGGCGGAATACTTTGACGAAAGAGTTTTAGGAGAAATATGCAAGGAAGTAACTTTGTAAGCAATTGATGATAGTGGCAAATACAAGGAAGGTTTATATAGCATGCAAGAGCGCTTGTGGGAAAATGGTTGGTACGTAGCAAAATTGGAGTGCCATGTGGCAGTTGGAAATCCTAAGTGGATTGTGAAAGGATAAGCCTGGGATGGGTTGGATTTGTGTTGTCAGGGAAAATTACCAGTAAACAGTAAACTATTCCGTAACATTGCAATGCAATAGCTGAAAAATCCTAACCTACAAACAAAGCCCAGATTTCTGTTCCAATCAGAACCCTATGAGCCAAAGGTACAAGAATCATCCTTGAAAGAAATAGGAAATATGAGCTAATTGGAGTAGGTTGGTAAGAAATAGGAAAACACATGGAATAGAGGTTTACGGAAGTCTAATGAAGGGTAGACATCCTAACACACTAAGCTGCGAGACAGAGCTAATGGCGACTGCCCTAAAAGGCAAGAAAATGGATGAAGAACAGAATATAGTAACTTAGGGGCGAAGAAGTTGATGGAGGCAATGAAAGACAATAGAATGAGAGGAATGACTTGGGTCTTGGGTCCTTCGGAGGCAGCAATATGCGGTGGTTGGAGGAGAATGTTTTGATTGAAAACGTTATCCAAGGGCTGGTAAAATCCAGAATTACAATAGGTTCAGAAGTGAACAACCAGTTGCACAGTAACACTGTAGGCTACTGTAGCAGGGAACTTGCACTTTTGAGATGTAAGAAATGCCCAACACACCAACACGGCCCCTCATTGCGCCACTGGAGGACTTAAAATGCATAATATGCCAGCTAGATGCCTGGCACAGGTCTAGAATTTAGCAGAAGCTTGAATGAATGACTAATCAAGAATTGAATGTATACAAGCAAAGAGACAATCCGATTTATACCTACGAGAACTTTGGGGAAGGGTAACTAGGACCTTCTAAGAGAGTTCTAAAAATGAGTGGAACCATCCGTAGGAACACCATCTAGAAGCACGGTAGGGATTCCAGATTAACGTTGACGGTGGCGGAACACTCCACGCAATAGAAAACATGTTACGCAAGGAAAATCCAAAACAGTCTAATATATATGATATATAATATATCAATGTGCAGTGGAAGAGTGTAGGGATTTTTAGAAAATGAAAAACAAACAAAATAACATATAGTAAATAGCAAATATGTGAATGGATGTGCTCAAGGATTCGGCAAGCCTCATCCTCTCACAATGTCGACACTGAAGATATTGGTCCCATGTTGAAGTTTTGGTCAGGAAATCAGCAATCTGTGATGGAGTAGTACAATGCATGGCAATTGATTGGCACTGATGGACATGCGCCTATTAGAAGCACAGGGATCAGATGTGCCTAAAATGAGAGATAGAGTGCACAGTCGGATTTCCGTCACACGACTTCAAATATTGCTACCGATGTGATCTGTGCCTCAAACGATGATCTTTAAGTTGGATCTGGAGCGCGTTGCTGTCATCTATCAGCAGGAGGTTGAATCATGAAATTTCATGAAGATTTAACTGGCAAGAGGTATAGCAGCCACTATTGTCTTAGAAATACAAACTTAGCAAGACGAATCGACATTGAGATGGTTCCCAGCCTCTACAAACCCCACGAGCCGAGGTCCAGGTTGGTGGTACACCACCACAGAGTCCCCAACCACGAAGAGACTCAAAACAAACCCTACAAGGGGCTATACCAAGTGAAACGTAACACTACACGAAGTAGCATTACTATTCCCACTATTTTAATGTTTATCCACTTCCCTTGGGCTTGCAATCTTGAGCTCTTTGTCTTGATTCTTCAAGATAAATTCTTCTTGAGTTGATGAGTGCCTGCTGCACACACCTGCGATGCGATGGACACTTCACACTCGACAGAATAGAAAAAAACACATGTGACGTGCAAACGACGACTTGACATGCGAGTAGTGAAAGCTCGCTAACGTCTTGACCGACAAAAACCACATTGTCATACACCATTCAAACACACAAAAAATCACTAGATAGCAATGCCATCGAATTACAAGTCATTCCATGCCATGCATGCACACACACGAACAAGAACGACAAGTCGAGTGCAAGCCATAGGGTTATACCAACAAACTCCCCCTCGAATTGTTGGCCTTAGAATCTGCTCCCCTTTGTTTAGAGCCATCCTAGCAAGCTTACAACAATTCCAATGCTGCAGCTCAACCAGCCTCTTGGTCATTATATCAGCAGGTTGCGCTGTCATCTTCACGTAGTGCAACTCCACTTCACCCGCGGTTACCATGCTCCTCACCCAATGCCACTTCACCTTCATGTGCTTGGTAAGTCCATGAAGAACAGGGTCCTTAGCTAAGCAATAGCACCCTGGCGATCTCAATAGAGTTGGGTAGGTCCTTGCTGCTCCCCTCCCAATTGAGCTAGCAAACGCCGCTGCCACACAACCTCCCTTATGGCATGGAAGAGTGCTATGTACTCGGACTCCACCGAGCTCAATGCTTGGTCCACTTGTTTCTTGCTCTCCCAAGCTGTTGCGCCTCCACCAACACAGGAGATGAAGCCTCCCACACTTGTCATATCCTCTGGTTCTCATGCCCAAGATGCATCAGAGAAGGTGGTGGGAAAGAGCCTCCCGGGTTCGACTCCATCCGCACCCTTTTGATGCCTTTGTGCCGCCACGGAGTATTGCAGTCCAACAGTTGCTGTTTGGCCAAGGTACTTGGGCACTCTCTCTCCAGCTGCTACCTGTTCTTCATTAGGGCATTGGACAACCCTAGCC